AAGTTTCATCACTGAAATACTGACTTTGGCTTTGTTATATTATACTAGTATGTAATACATATGTTATAAAGAAACAACAGAAGAATTGTTTCAGGGTTTTAAATTTACTGTCAATAAATGCAAAAAGAATTGTATGAATATCTAGTAAAACAAGAAATGTCAGTAAGCCATTTTAGTTATTTAAATTAAGAAAAGTATAAAAATAACTTAGTTAAATTATGTTGTGATATTGAAAACTCATTCCAGAAAATGAAAACAGTTTTTTTTAATAATGCATTCTTATTTATAAAGTTTTACGTATTTAAAATTATATTTGTTCACATGATATGCTTACTGATATAAACATTGAATATACTTTGCATCTGTTCATATTTTTATTCATATTTTAGATTATTTCACCATAACACAGTCAGTAAATACGTGTAAAAAGTATTAAAAAATTCAGTAAATACGTGTATTTCGTAACTGAAAAGAGTAAATACATGTATTTCCTAATATTCAGGAAAAACATGAAATTCCTGATTACACATATTTACTGTACCATATATATTGGATTCCGAAACTTCATAAGAATCCTTACAGACAAAGATAAATAGCGGATTCCAGTATATGTTTTACCAAGCATCTTTCTTTACTCCTCACCAAGATATCAACAGTAGTGAAGGAGAAACTTCAAGAGTACTTTTCAACAATATATTCAAAAAGTGGTGTAAATCAGGTGTGGATGCTTAAAAATTCCAAAGAACGTTTGGTCAATTTGAAATCACAAGATTTTACCAAAATCAATAGCTTTTCAACTTTATACACAACCATTCCCCACGATAAATTAAAGTTCAGGCTTTTCGATATCATTGACAGCTGCTTTTTAAATAAAAATGAAACTCGAAAAATTGCTTACCTTGTCATTGGTCATTTGAAAAATTATTTTTTAAAAAAGTATTCTGACTGTATACACAGATACTCTGAAGTCGACATCAAAAAGATGCTTGAGTTTCTGTTTGACAATATCTATGTTGTTTTTGGAGACCAGGTCTTCCAACAATTTATTGGAGTTTCCATGGGTACCAATTGCACCCCTTCATTAGCAGACCTATTTTTCTATTCATAGCAAGCAGAATTCATACAAAATCTTATGAGTGAAAAGAAGAAAACACTTGCTGTGGCCCTTAACTCCACATTTAGATATATCGACGACGTATTGTCAGTTAACAATGGTAATTTCCATTCCCATGTCGATACGATATATCCTGATGAGTTTGCTTTAAAAGATACCACAGAGTCTGACACATCTGTTTCATACTTGGATATTTTACTTGAAAAAGACGTGAATGGTAATATCACCACCAAGCTCTATGATAAACTTGATGACTTTAACTTTTCTCTCGTCAACTTTCCTTACTTATGCAGCAATATGCCTTCATCACCTGCATACGGAGTGTATATATATCTCAGTCGATTCGATACGCAAAAGCACGCTCTACGTGTGAACATTTTCTACAACTAGGTAAATTATTGACAAGCAAGTTGATGAAACAAGAATATCAGCTGTCTCGTTAAGATTCATCATTTCGGAACTTTTATGGTCGATACAATGACCTTGTCAGCAAATACAATTTATTATTAAGTCAAATGCTGACTGACGTTTTTCATACTAATTGTTAGTCCATTATTTATACACTGAATTTCAACGGACTTTTCCGTTATTTCACGATCATGACAAGGAACACACGGCGGATGTGACCGGTCAGAAGGGGATGCTCACTCCTCCATGGCACCTGTTCCCACCTCTGATGTTTCGGAGGTCCGTGTTTGCTCTGCTCCTATTTTGTATTGTTTATTGGACTTTGATATTGAATACTGTTCGTTATCTCCACATCCTTCTCACCGGCGATATGTTTCGGGAATGATAGAAAATTAAAAAAAAAATATCGAAAACTTAAAATAGGATATTAATTATCGTTTTAAAAACCCTTCCAATAAAGGATACGTTCTGAAAAACAGTAAGAAAAGAGCAATAACTCTAATCTTTTTATTTTCAAGTACAGGGTCTAGAAGAAAATTATTTATAAAATCTATGGACGATAAATCAAATTGTCATCATTTTTATACGTACCTCTGTCTATACTAAATTGAATTTTGACGTTTTGCAAGGAACTGATAAAATATTATACTTAAATTGTTCCTTCATCTGTTTAAATTTTATTTTCATTTACGTTCTTTTTCATTTATTTTAATTTCTTCACAAGATTATATTTTCCTCTCTAATAAGCGCGAAAAATTTTAGATTTAAAAAATCTGAAAAATATTTTAATTGCTTCTTTTACAGACTTCAAACTTTAATTTCTTCCACTTTTTGGTCAATGTTTTTTCTCAATTGTCAATTTTATTTTCTAAATTATGGAACATATTGTTGTTCATGTAAGGTCAAACTGTCTAAGGATGACGTGTTTACCTGGACAATACACAGGACTATGGACGAACGTGATGGTCAGAATGGGCGTAAGTATTTCTTTAGGGCATCTGATCCCACATATTGGGACTAAGGCTCTTTTATCACTATGTATTGCTTATACAGTCTATTAGTTTGATCACGGTTCATCACATTTCCCCTGTTCTTTCAAAGATAATTTGATTCGCACAGAAGAACAGCCTTTACTTTAAGTCAATTACAAAATAAAAAGGATGACAATAAGAAGCAGGGATCGATCTAAAAAAAAATTATAACAAAACATATCTGTGAACAGGGTATAAACACGGACACAGAGGTTGAATGAGGTGCCGAGGAGAAGTGAATATCCCTTGTTTATTAGACACACCGGCATTGGCTTTCCGTATTAATATGTAACATTAGTAGACGGAATATTCCGAAGTCAAATTTACTACCAAAAACAAGGAATAAAATTGACATTATACAAGTCAGCCAAATTAAACACGACCCAGTGAAAGATTATGTTTGCTTATTAGGTCATTACAAAGGCCATAGGATATATGTAAGCTTGACTTTAAAGGAGGCTGTTAAAATCCCAGCAACTTGAATTTATGGTTGTGTGTAAAAATCTTACAAATATAAAAATTACATAAGCATCTGCATTCGTACAAAGTAAATAAATCCAATTGTTGCTATTAAAACTTTTTTCTTTTCTAAAATATTTCCACTACAAATATATTAATTACATACACAGAAGTTTCAATCTCAACCATCAACATATTTGCAAATATTCAAAAATGGATTCACACTAAGAATTAAATTTTTTTAAAAATAAATAACTTTAAATGACTATATATAGCGTGTGAGATATATGGTGGAAATGGATTGGTACACATATGAGCATTTGTTTTCATTAATCTCATTTCTTAATTTTTTTTCTCTTTATTTGTATATGTGCAACATATTAAGAGTTATACCGGTGTTGTATAGTAGCCTTTCCCCCTAGCCATCTTTCCCCCCGGAAACATGGCTATATAGTAGTTTTTCCCCCCGGGAAAATGGCTATATAGTAGATTTTCCCCCATGGAAAGATGGCTATATAGTGGGATTTCCCCTCTTTTATAGCCAAATTACCCCCAGGGAAAACCTACTATATAATACATTTTTTTCATTCCGGTTAAGTTTATGGAGGACCATTCTTTGTAATAATAAAAAATTAAATTTAGTTAAAAAAGGGAAAAAAAGTCCTTAAATTCATAGCACGTGTATACATGTATTTGAAATATATAATTCATGTACGTTGTATAATTTAAGTTTTAAAATAGTATCCAAGTAGTTCGATGAATTGCCTGTATGATAAATTCTTTCGTTTATACAGTTGACAATAAACACTTTTTCGTTCATTAATGTATGCAAGTACATATATGTAACGTAAGTCACTGTTCAAAACATCGATTTAACGTCAGCTTTCCATAAACAATTTTCAAAAATCTAAACCAAAAACTTAGGGGGAAACCCTACTATGGGGGAAAATATGAACTTTATGAAAAATTATATAGCCAGTTTTCCGGGGGGAAAAGCTACTATGGGGGAAAAACTACTATACAACACCGGTAATTTGTTCAGCGGAAGTTCCTTTATGCCTCAAGCTCTAAAAAGAATACATAGCCAATAGTAAAACTTTTACAATACATCAGTATTTGTTACCTTGAAAAAAGATAACACCGTGTTTTTTTTAAATATCAGTTACAAAAACAAAGAATGTGAACGACAAAACTTCATAGTACTTTATGAAAATTTAAATTCATAAAATATAAACAAATTGTACAGCATCGAAACGTACGTTTTTTTTTAATAAATTGAATATAAGACTTTTAGCCATCATGAAAAACTGTCTTAAAAAAATCGAAAAGTTAATTGCCTACATTGATATTGTTCCTCAAAAAATATACCATGTTAAAATTACACTGATTCTTCACATATAAGTAATTTGAGGTTCGTATTAAACATTGGTGAGAGTTAAGTGCTTTCTCATAAAAAAAGACTTTAAACCACAATCTGATATACAAAAAATAAATACATAAAACTAATCTGGATAGAAAAAAGAAAAAAAATCAATAATCCTTTGAATTTTTTTTTTAAATCACGTTTCATGAATTCATAGTTAAAGGCATGGGGTCAATAAAATTTAAACTAGAGAACAATTTCATGGTGGATTTAAAGGACAAAAAAGTCATGTTTTTTCACTTTCTTGAAAGAATCCTACAAATTAAATTTAGGAAAAAGAAAAAAAAACACTTATTCTACAGAAAGAGAGAGCGAATTGAAATTTGTCTGTTTACTCAGATTGAATACACATGCAAATCTTTACAATCGTTCAGTAACTTTTAGATCAGCTATGATGATTACACTCCCCCACCTAGTTTTTCCCATGACGTCACAAAAGAAACCTGATCTAACCCTTCACTCTGAATCTCTCCTGTCTATTGAAGCATGACAATATACAATTAAATCTCGATATATTTACACGATATCCACCCAGCCGAAAAAGGTAAATTAAGATATTACATGTCTGTACCGAATCTTCCAATACACTATGTGTATTCAACGAATAAAGCAGAACACAAATGCGATGAAATAATATTGATAATTCTGTCCGGAATGAGGAAGTCTGACCAGTGGCCATGAACATGTCGCTCAGTCTGGTGGTGCTGTGTATCGTTATAGGAGTCAGTCGTTGTTGTTTTATCAATCCCTGTAACTTTGGCGGGTTTTGTCAGAATGGGGGCACCTGTTCTTTGAGGGAGGACTGTGTGGCCGTTTGTGAGTGTCCCCCGGGGTACTCGGGAGATAGATGTCAGACTTACTCTAACGGGTCCACCAATGACTGCGACTTGTGTCTGGAAAACCAAACCTGCGTCCAATCACAAAAGGGTAATAATAGCTGGTCTTGTATTACCATGACAACTACAACTGTTTCCTTGGTAACATCAGATACAGTGGATACCAATATTTCAAGGGAAGTTTGTTCCGTGGATTATGTAAACCGAACAAAGGCAGAAAGAACATGCCTTGGTTTTGAATGCACTTTTGGATTCTGCAATAAGAGTTACGAGTACGTTGGGGGTATACAAATGCTCACGGCTAAGTGTGTGTGTGACCCCGGAGCTACGGGGACAAAGTGCGAGTTTCAGTGTTGTCTGGACTGTGGCCACGGCTTCTGCCAGTACAGCATCAGTGAAAAGGAGCCGTTCTGTAACTGTGATCCTGAATATATGGGGGAGAAGTGTTCTGAACTTAGACCAGTCAAAGGTAATAAAACTAAAATGAACAAAATAGATTGTGTTTTAAAATATTTTTTTTTCATATTTCTTTGAATAATCTGGGTATTCCATTATGAAAAATTAAATGTTTGTCAAAGTTTTGCCTGTAAATTATAATAAAAAATTGTATAGTTTTTAATCCTACGGATTTTTTAGGATTTAAAGCAAAGTTTTATATAAAGGAACAAAAAGACGACGATCCTTTGCTTTTCCATTCCATAATTTAGCTAAAGATTTTATATTTTCGTATCTGCTTTATGAAGGTTTTATTATTTCAGTTTTTTTTTTACTTTTTTCCAGGACACCAGACCTCTGACCCGGGGTGGTTGTGGTGGCTTGTTGGCGGCTGTATTCTCGTTTTCCTCGTCCTAGTGCTACTGCTGGTGGCTGTTCCGTATTGTCTCTGGAAGAAGAGAGTCCTTGTGGTCATGAAAATCGCTTACTTCTTCCAGCCTTACGAGGACAACGGTAAGTCACAAAACCTTCCGAATGTTTAAAGTTATACGTTCTGTTTAGTTTCTAAACAACTCCATGTAACTTCAATTTTAACTACATTAAAATTAGTAAATTCGTGGCTAAGGGTTAGATAATGCGGAGTCTCTTTAATCGGGGGGCTTCACCTTCTGAATATACATCGTATATGAATATATTTTGAATAAACTATAAATATAGTGTCATAGTAACTGATTATAATAACATTGATTAAAATGAAATAAAACCATAGTACAACGAGATAAATAAAGTACATTTAATTTATTGTATATTAATAACTAGTGTGTATACAAGTCCAGTAGACCGTACCCGCCAGAGTGCGTCATTCATTATTTGTTCATGCTAGAGATGTCAACCCAGGTAAAAATGAGATCAAGATAAAATTGGAAAGTATACATTTAAATTGTCCCACAAGGATGATTCAGCTATCCGTGGTTACAAATCATTTGACATTTATTTTCTTGTTTCTTATTATGTAATTTGATGTACGTGACCATTATTGAAGATACAAAGAGAGAGAGAGCTGCATACTTGTAATTCGTCTTGTTAATTAAAAAGTTTAAATGGAAGGTATACATGAAAGCCTGACAAATAAAAACAATTAAATGAGATCAAGATAACAGTGTTTCACGGAGACAACTTAACATTAATTTGCTCCCGGTTATATGTTCATAACTCTATATAAATATTAACTTGTTTTCTGTGCTCGTGTCACTTCAAAAAAATTAATAAAAAATAGATCAATAAATCCGTCATTCTATAATTAATGCATTAACGGCCATTATAGGAAAATCATTGTCTGTTGATACTTCACCTGCCTCTGCACCTTACATAATTATGGCGAAAACAAAAAGATATGATTTGTAATTTTGTATCAATGCAAATGAAGGAGACCAAGACCAAAGAGGTTTTCAGGAATAGCTCAAATATTTTTGAAGAAATTTATGAAATAGTGTAAGCCTAGGTAACCGAACTTTATTTATTATAATGGAGAGAAAGAAACTAAGAGATTTCAAGGGTTGACCCAGAGAATTTTTCTTTATGGAGGGGATAGCATTTAGGGATTTCACTTGTGATTCACTTTGAACACCAACTACCAGTATATACAAGAGATAATTACGAAACGACAGCAACACATATCAAAACATACATTTATGTTAGAACTTCAGCATACATTTATAGAAATAACAGCATATAATCATAAAACCACATCGCATACATGCAAATATCAAAACGAAGCACAAAACTACGAAAGCGCATCATATTATCAAATATCCACTGCATATTATATAAGAATGACATGAAATAACAATCACATCATATTATAACAAATAAAATGACAGTATATAATATAAATAATACAACATCATTATAAATATTATAACAAATCCAAAGCAGTTGATTATAAATATTTACAGTATATATTATAAATAATACAGGACAAAAGTTATATTTTATGATATCACATCGCCCATATTCCTCCATCTTAAAATCACAGTGACGTGTGTGGATTTATGCCTCGCTTTATCACTTCTCGAGGATTCCTCGTATCAGTGTAGAGAACTCTGAAAACGTGTTGTTCGATGCTTTACTGTCAGTGATTATTGACAATTTGAAAATTAATTTCAGAATTTCGCATATGCAAACAATCCTATGGGTTTCCGTTTTCCATATTTGTATGTATATTTGACAAAATGTGGTTCTCGTAATTCATTGATTCACTTCTTTAAATTCTAAAAGGGCCAAATTTTAAGGAACCTCGATCATTTAATTGGTGTCATGATTTCATGAAAAGTTTCGATTCTGTGGAAGATTATGCCAGGCGATGCGCAAAACATGAAAAAGAAGACATTGACACGTTGTCAGAATGGATTTAATGTATCAGATGTATGTTAAAAGTCTTGATACCAACTATCCTTCTAGGTTCAATAATTCAGAAATTAAAAATGAAAAAGATGGATTATTTGATCATTAAGTACTAGGCACTGCTGACAAAACAGGTAACAACAGTGTCGTTGTTTGTAAGACTCATTGTTTTAATTGTACTTTTGAGGAACTGGGATTTAATTCCACAAATAATATTCCAACCTATACCCAGAGCTCCCTCTCTGAGGAGGGAATTATCAAAATAATATGTCAGTTTTGAATATTTTCAATATTCGAAAGTCAAAGAGAAATTGAATTGCAATATCTATAAAATTTCCAACAAACAAAGATACATTGTGGCTTCTAGTAAATGTTATACAAAGTCTTTTCTTTATTCCTCATTAAAAAAAAAAACAGTATGAAGGAGAAACTTCATGAGTACTGTGCAACAATATATTCGAGAAGTGGTGTTAATCAGATGTGGATACTACAAAAATCCAAAAATTTCGAACAATTTGAAAACACAAGAATTTACGAAAATCAACAGCTTAAAAACTTACGACTTTTAAACTTTATATACAATCATATACCGCAATGAATTAAAGTTTAGACTTTTTTTATCATTAACATAAAAATAATGGATATAAAATATTTGTTCTAAAACAACATGAGGTGCAACTCTTATATGGGATATTTTAATTGTAAATTGTAATCAATCATTTCAAGAACAAAGAAAAAAAGAACATTTATAACCTTCAGTTCTTTATATTTGCGAAAGAAGAACTGTTTTCTTATAAGCTATGATTAAAGCAAAATTACATTTTTGTCGTCCTGCACAATATTGATTTCTTAGATAACACAATATATACTATTTGTTCAGAGGTCTTTCTTCTGAAACAAATAAATTTTTACTTTAGTCTAAATGAACATTAAGTTTTTAATTTCAAACAAATTGATCATAAAACACATTTCAACTGCAATATAATTTTTTCCCCAAAAAGCAGCTCATATTGCTTTAAATTATAAAAGAAAAAATGAAAAAAAAACTTATATCAACCTCATTTAAAAATCGTTATCTGTATAAGTAAATATTGCAGTGCTTTTCTTACCTCATTTATATTTTATTTGTATTTGATGAGACTTCCTTAATACAATGGTTAATTGTCTTTATTGTAGATGATAAGGTCTGGGACGCCTTTGTCTCCTATAAATCGGCCGGTCCAGATGAGGACTTTGTGTTACACAAACTACAGCCTGTTCTGGAGGATCAGCTAGGGTTCAGGCTTTGTCTTCATTACAGGGATTTCGTCATAGGGGCAGGTAAGTCACCCCTAGGAGTAATAGCCCCCCAGTAGATATATACAGATGGATAATTTCTAGGATAGTCAAAATATTTATTGCCTTTACTAGATTACTGCGTTATTCAAACGATAGTATATCTTGAAATAAATTCTTTTTTGGCGATGTCGTCGTTAGCAATGTCAGAACAAAAGTTATCTTTCTTTGGTTAATTTACTGAACATTGCTCATTTTAATTTAGCTTTATTTAAATGTACACTGTATAACTTTAACGTCAATCACATTCATAAATTGGTCTATAATTTTTCTTTCTTTTAATCAGCATGAAAATATTAATGAAATATTTGTTGCATATTCTTTAAAAATAATAATAATTTGGCGGAAGAGTTGAAGTAAACACACGGGCCAGGCACCTGCGATGCTGTTTAATTCTGCTTGTTCATTTGTAAATTGCCCCGGCTATCTTAATGTCAGCAAATTGTAATCTAGATGTTTTGATAATTATTGAAGTGCCAAGACATGTTACGGTTACTGTATTTTCCCTGTATCTGAGATCTCTTAAAATGTAACAAAACGTTATCCATGAACGATATGAAATGAACTTTCTTTTTTTATAACAATAGATTAGTATTAAAAATAAACAAAGTTATTGACAGATGATTTTCTTAGTACTAAATCTTTTATCTTATAAATCCTTTTTCCAGGCTCCATTTATACTATAACAAAAAATAAACTACGGAGACGCAGAGGACAATGGATAGGTTGTAATATTTTTCCGCTATTTCACACGACGGGTGTGACCATGGCACTTGATCCGACCTTTGATGTATCGGAGGTCTGTGTTTGCTCTGCTCCTATTTCATATTGTTTTTTGGACTTTTGAGCTTGAATGTTGTTCGTTATCTACATATTCTAGTATCTTCGATGTAAAGACAATAATTTTTGTTGAGGAGACCTTTCTTATTTGCTTTCTCTGGAGAAATACTGTTTCTCAATGCTGAGATATGAATTCCTTCTCGAGTTAGCTTTTAGTGCATTTATTTATTTATTTATTCGAGAATCGCATTACTATTCGATGATTGGTCGTTTTGACGATAGTCGACTATTTGCTGACATTCCTAATACCCCCTCCCCTCGCCTAATTGCTAGATGAGGTCGGGTAACTAAACTCCCAAGTAGAAACATAGGAGCAGACAATTTATCTTAAATAGCTGAACCCGATACTCAAGTAACGAATATGTGTGCACTGAATATTAAAAAAAAAACACTCATTTTATTTTGCAGCAATATTTGAAAACATCATTGAGGCAATCAACAACAGTAGACGGACCATTTTGGTTTTATCTCCACGTTTCCTGAACAGCGAGTGGACACGCTATGAGTACCAGGTGGCGCTTCAGGAGATGTTAAAGAAAAAACACAGAATCATACCCGTGATCCTCGAAGATATATCTGATGTTGAAGATATTGACGAGACTCTGAAGCAAATCTTGTCTTCTATAACCTACATAAAATGGCCAGACACGGAGAAGAAAGAAAAACATTTCTGGAAAACTCTCCAGTTATCTCTTCCAAAGAGGAGGATGGAAATAAGCTCGGGTTCGGACAGTACAGGGGTCAGAAGCCCGGGTTCGGACAGTACTGAGGTCAGCTGTATAGAACCCCCGAGTCCAGTAGACAGCCAACCAACTAGTCTGTCCTCAACTGACAATGTGATAAACAGTCCATCAAAAGATGTCATTTCTGACATCAATGGCGTGAATATAGAGGTCATCACTGACTCCTACATATATAATAACATCGCATACGTAAATAACATTGAAAGATCCAAATCCAGCACAATAACAAACTCGAGTAAAGATCCAAATCTTCAGTTTCTTGGGGAAAAGCTATGACAGTGTTGTCGTAAGATATTGTCAAAAGGGAATGATGGAGTGAAATATTTGTGGAATGAATTCCCAGATGCTATAGACAGCGGGAATAATCAAGATTATGTCTATTTTTTAAAAAATACTAATTCAGGTTAGCTCCCTTTCAATGGTTCTAACATTATGATGGATCTGAATTTAAAATAACAAGCATGTATTTAAATTTCAGACTGTTTTCGATATTAAGAAACACAGTATCGTATTCTCAAAGTTTTTAAGGTGATCCTATAAGGAAACGCATCAAATTTAACAGTCAAGAATTTGGTTCATCGTCACGTTACCACATGTGGAATGAAAACATGTTTAACTGCTATATCAAAATAAGACTTGGAATCAAATATCACGTGCATTAATGTTTTAAAGTACTGTGAAATCACTATTTTCCTGTGGGTTTAATTTTCGTTTGGTTTTCAAGGCATGAAGAGACCCACGAATTTATGTCCACCACGAAATGAATTTTTCACATATATTACTACTGAACAACTCTTCAACCACGAAATCAAACCACCAGGAACCAATGTTTTTCTCAATCCACGAAAATTTTATCCCTCGAAAGTATGTAATTTTACAGTATCTTACTATCTTGGCTTTCAAAGAGGACAAAGAGTTAGTTTTACCAAAGAATTATACTTCATGGCAAACAAGATTTTCATGAGTTATTACTGGAATGTTATACTATCTTTGTTTTCTCTTTTTTCCCATTGTCTGCCATATCATAATAGGTATTTTAGCTGTATACAAACATTGTGATGTAAATAAATTTATCTAAATTAAATTGTTGTACAATACAATCAGTACTTTTATCACCTGTAGGTATCTAAGAGAAGGAAAGAAAAGTCATTGCAGGAAGCTGGTTGTAAAAAACATGTTTTATATCAAAATAGCGATGGTAGAGTATGATATTCTTTCACTACTCCCAGTCTATTTCGGTTATTGGGCAGGGCCAAACATTTTCAATTTAGAGGGCATAATCAAAAATTAAGGAAAATGGCAATGTTGTTGTGTATAATGAAAAATATTAAAACTTTAATCCAGAAAAATAATTATATTCAGAGTAGAAATGTTAGAAAGCAAAACCCCTTCACAAGTATCGTCATTCCGCGCTAAGTGTTGTGTACAGAGTTTAGCAAATTGATCACACTCGTGAAACGTACACATTTTTTGTAAGCCGGACACAAGCTCTGTCATTGTTTTTGTTTACGATTCACAGGGTGCGTTCAATTGTTAACGTCTGCTCGCCACAAATGCACGGACTGACAATATACTGTGTTTATGTTTTCCTTTCGAACATTTCTACTGTGAATTTTCTGGATTGTAAAAAATTGTAAGATTGCAAAGGATGTGTCAATCAAACCCATCCAAATATTTGAAGTTTCAATAACCTTAAGATGAAATAAAATTTTTAATATTTTGTTTTTGAAATGCTATTAAAATATAGAAGTCTTGATACTATACATAAAATATTAACTTCAAATCTGTGTCCATGTACCTTTAATACACGTGGAAATACTTTATTAATAGTATCTCAGTGTTTCATCATGAAATCATTTGTCCAGACGCATCACACTGACATTATTTATATCCACAGATTTCCTGTAATGAGACAAGACAATACTGGCTATTGGAAGCTTGTTTGGTTAGTTTTTGTTTAACCTCTCGTATAAATTATTAAAAACACAATTAAGTGAAACTGTCATTTATTGAACTAACAAATGACTAAAACTAAAACTACATTACACATTACAAAAAAACTTATATAACAATTAATTGACGATGTTTCCTTTCCTCTTATTTTGTATTGTTTTATGGAATTTAAAGCTTGAATGTGTTCATTATATCCATATACTAGTTTTTCATGTGGTCGTCAATGTTGGCTCTTGACATAATAAGAAATGTATTAAGCTTACGTTTCTTTTCGATTTTTGCAATCCCAACTTACTGTTTTTTAACATACAGAACATGATAATTCAAAATATATACAGACAGAACATATTCCTGTCAAATCAATATATAAATTCCACAATAATCACATATTTTTCTCATCTACGTATTCGCTGTCGCCGAAATCTTTCTTACATCTGTTACAGACTGTTTAAATTGTCAAATCGGTGCCCCTTTAGTGATAATTACAAATCAATTTGAGTTTGATATTTCCGGGATAATAAAAAAAAACCATAAGGTCCATGGATCACATCGCTCACAGGAGACTAGGAAAATTCAGACATCAATATCAAAATATTTACATGGGTGGGTGAACAAACTTGAGTTTGCACTACCCAAGAAAGCTTCTAAATCTATATAACTATTCTTGGCTCGGCTGTTCGAGAGGAAATATAGAAAGATTTCTTTAACTATTTATATATTTCAATGTAAAAATTGATACCCCAGTTGTGGCCTCACTTGAACTCACGGGGTCTTGATTTGATCAAATTTGAATCAACACAATCTAACGATGTTGATAGAAACATATCAATATGATGAAAAGAAGCTTTCCTTCCATTGACTGGAAGAAATTTTAAGATTTTTCCTATCTATTCCAACTTTAAATTCTTTCCCCGATTGTTGTCCCATCTTAACTCTTAACGTCATCAATTGAACAAAATGTTATCCTCGCTAAATGAGCTACCTGAGGATACTCTAAGATCTTTATGATTTTTCATAGCTTTGCTGTTCCTGAAATAAAATACATATATGTATCTGGAGATAACACAGTATTCAAGATCAAAAGTCAATAAAACAATACACAATAGAAACAGAGCCGTGTGCTCCTTGTCATGAACGGGGAATATCGGAAACATCCGTCGTCAATTCAGTCTATAAAAAATGGTCTAACAATTATTTTGAAAACGCCAGTCAGCATTTCACTCAATGATAAATTGTTCAATGTATCGACCATTAAATTTACGATATAAGACTGCTAGTATTCTTGTTTCATCAACTTGTTTGTCAATAGTTTACCTCGTTTTACAAATTTTACCGATGTAAAGCATGCTCTTGCGTATCGAATCAACTGAGAGATATAAACTTCGTATACAGGTGATGAAGGTAAATGGCTGCATAAGTAAGGGAAGTTTACAACTGAAAGGTAAAAACCATCATGTGATTGTTAGATTACCATTAAGGTCTATATTTCAAGTAAAATATCAAAGAAATGAAACAGATGTGTCAAACTATGGTGTATCTATTAACTTAAGATTACCGGGATATATCGTATTAAAATAAGAATGGAAATAACCATTTTTAATTGACAATACGTCGTCGATATATCTAAATGTTGAGTTGAAATGTTTTTTTCTTTTCACATATAAGACGTTTGACAAATTCTGATCCACATGAACACAAAAATAGATCTGCAAATAACAGAGCGCAATTGGTACCCATGAGAATTCCAATAGATGATTGAAAGACCTGGTCTCCACAAACCAAATAAATATTGTCAATCAGAAACTAAAGCGTATTTTTGATGTCAACTTCAGAGTACATGTGTGTACAGTCAAAATGTTTTTATGAAAATAATTTTGCAAATGACCAATGGCGAGGTAAGTATTTTTACGAGTTCCATTTTTATCGATTAAGCGGCTGACAATCATATCAAGACGTTGACGATTTTAAAATATTTCTTTCTATGTATTCTATTTACTGGTTGATTCTCTATTATGGCCCAAAATATTTCTAACCATTACTTTGATATTTTTGATATCAAGATTTTTAAAACTGATTTTGTTTTGTATTTCTATATAGTACAACTTTCATCACCATAATGGTCCAAATTTACCGTTGGAAAGAGGTTTTTCCTAATGTACTCTCTTATCAAAACTTTGATTGGGCACTGTGGCCACATTCTATCCCAGGAAGTCATGAAGGATATGGAGATATGGTTAACGAACAGTATTCAATATCAAAGTCCAAAAAACAATATAAAATAGGAGCAGAGCAAACAAGGACCTCCAAAACATCAGAAGTGGGATCAGGTACCATGGAGGATTGAGCATCCTCTGCCGACTGGTAACACCCGCCGTGTGCTCCTTGTCATGATCAGAAAATAAAGGAAAAATCCGTCGTCAATTCAGTGTATAAATAATGGACTAGCAATTCGTATGAAAAATGTCAGTCAGCATTTGACTCTATGATAAAATGTATTTGCTTACAAGGTCATTGTATAGACTCACGAAATGATGATTTTAAGGATACTGCTGATAGTCTTGTTTCATCAACTTTTTTGTCAGTAATTTACCTCGTTGTAGAAATTGTTCATACGTAGAGCATGCTCTTGCGTATCGAATCACCTGAGATTTGTTAACTCCTTTTACAGGTGATAAAGGTATTTTGCTGCATAGGTAAGGGAAGTTGACGATAGAAAAGTTTAAGTCATCACGTTTATCATATAGCTTGGTTGTTAGATTACCATTAACGTCTCTTTCTAGTGAAATATCCAAATATAAAACAGATGTTGAGACTTTGTGGTATCTTTTATTTCAAGCTCACCAGGATATATCATATCTAAATAGGAATGGAAATTACCACTGTTAATTGACAAATACGTCGTCGATATATCTAAATGTGGAGTTGAAGGCCACAGCAAGTGTTTTCTTCTAAACACATAAAATTTTGGACAAATTTTTCTTCAAAGGAATACAAAAATAGGTCTGCTAATAACAAAGCGCAATTGGTACCTATGGAAATTCAAATAAATTGTTGGAAGACATGATCTCCTAAAACCCTTAGACAATGTCAATCAGAAACTCAAGCATAATTTTGATGTCAACTTCAGAGTGCTTGTGTGTGCAATCAGAATGTCTTTTATGAAAATAATTTTGCAAATGACCAATGGCGAGGGTAGTATTTTTACAAGTTCCATTTTTATTGAAAAAGCAGCTGTCAATGATATCGAAAAGATTTATCGTGGGGAACGGTTGTGTATAAAGTTGAAAAGTTCATGATGTTAACAAATTTAAATCTACACTAGCCAGAAAGTTTTAATGAATTAAACTTTTTTCTAATCCTGTGATTCTTGAAAACTTCATCTGCCAAGTTTCGCTTTTTCTTTATTGTCTCTGCTTTGAAGAGGGATTTATTCTCCTTTGAACGAAATTGAATCTCCTTTACCCAAAAGTACCCTTTGTCAGGTTTGATTGAAATAAGTGCAGAAATTTTGGAGAAAATGATGGAAATGTGCCAAGTTAAAGACAATAAAAATTACAACGACATACAACAGACAAAGTTTGATTAGAATAGCTCCCTCAAGCCGTTAGCTCAGGTAAGCTAAACATTCCAACACAATGTGTCAAATTGGCTTTGGACACTTAAATATAAAATATACATTTGAGATCAATACTATATAAAAAAATTATAAAATGACGGCAATTCCCGTTCTGTTAATTATGATATCAAGCTTTGCACAAGTCTCGAAGCAAAAACTGTAATTATACTAAATGATGTAGTTTTTAAGACAATGCATCATAAAAATTAAGCTTTTTCACTAGGTCAGGAAGATAATATTCAATATTTATATTAATAGTCGATACGAATCAAATTTTACCTTATAGCTCTTTGGGCTTCATGGGATGAGATCAAATGCCTTACCCGTTTAAAAATTGTTAGTAATGCCTTTAAAAAAACGCAGAAGTTTTTTTTTTTAATTTTATATAAAATCGTTTTAATAACAATTAAAATTTCTCTGTGGCAGTCATTGATGCTTTGATAACAGTTGGTTCATGTTTCGAAACCGATCTAAGAATTTTACATTCTAGTTTGAGGCTTTG